CCCTTTTAAGGGGTCCAAAGCCATGTCCGTCTTTAATATTACTTGGGGTACAAACAACTCGTAAAGAACGATCGAAAAATGTTCGACAAATTTACCCCATTTTTTTACAATTCATTATAATTTATATGGTATTATTATGTTGTCCGTTCAATAATTAATATATAACATTACTCATAATATTATATATACTAAACGTAAGTTCGAAAAATTAGCCCTATTTTTTACAAAAATAGAGTTAGTCTACAGTCTTTACGATGAAAGTGGGATAAATTATAATACCACCTTTATATTTTACGATGTTATCGCAAATAACGCTTAATTTAAAAATACCCTAACTATCTTCAAATAAGACTATAACTCGACACCTTATCGCCTAGTTAAGCGATTCACTGATTGCTGGATTGAGCTATAAGTCTCTCGACACGCGATCCTCGAGGCTTTCACCGCGAATATAGATAAACAAGATTGGATAACTGATGATAAGATCTGTGAATGAGTGGCTCTTTGTAAGGGGTTTTAAGTTTGTTTAATTGTAGCAATTTATAAATGCAGAGTAATTGAGAATAGACGCAAGAATATCATAGTATTGTCATCATCATCTATCACCTTTTTTAATTAGGTTTAGATCGGCAAATAGTTTCTCGATATTTCTTCTCGCCGCTTGATTTGCGAACGGGAAGTAAATGTAAGTTTAGACATTCAAATTGTTTTTGTTATATTTTACGTTCATAAGTGTACATAGTTACCAATATGAATTAATCATTTTTATTTTCGATGAATTAATCATTTCATGAAAATATACTATGTTAGAAAGCTTCTAGCTAGGTTTTGTTCCCGATTTGTAGTATAAGTGTGTCTTTTTCAATTTTGTTTTAATAATAATAATAAATCATTTATTTGCAAAGAAACTGGTACATTCAGATTGATTGATTATCGAATAAAACACCGCACAATCAGCCATATAAAAATAGGCAAATATTAAATATCATTATATCATAATAAAAAGAATAGTTAATTATAATTGTTGTCAAAAATTACGGTCTAAATACTTACCCACGCTATAAAGGCAACTTGCCTTTAAAAATTTAATCACCTTCCACTTGAAAGCACGACATTACAGCCATATAGGGATATATAACTTTTAGGAATGTGATTAAATAGTTGTATGGCGTAACATCACACGTCTCAAACGTATTTTGAATACAACGTGGTGCAACATGCAGACATCAACAGCCGTGTTGGATCCCTCGGTAGATACAAACAAGTTTCTTTAATTTATTTTAGTAATTTTGGATGCTTTTATACAGTCAGTACTTCTTCTAGGACATATAAACTTGGTACTGTCTATTTTAAACTGTCAGTTAAAAAAATGGTCTACAGTTTACAAGAGGCCTAATAATAGCCATAATTTCCCGATATTTAGTAAACATCCAAACTTATTATAGAAATAAGATATGTTCAATCGCAAACATAGATCAAACCAAAACAAAGTTACATTAGACTAAAACTAAACCCGTCACAGATAACATACATTTGAAGTAAATTCATAAACAATTCATAGATTCCTAGAGATAACAAATTGTACTTTAATGTATCATTTGAGTTATTGCAAAGCAAATAATTTTATTGCCGTAATATCCCCAAGCAACATTTATGCGGTGTTTCGTATATCGCACATACAATGAATATCCCTTCTAACAAGATATTAATTTTCTCTTTGATGAATAGTTACAATAATTAATTGTTTTACAGCGTCGACGTAATTTACCATAGACAACTATAGACATGAATTTAATGTGTCAGCTAATTAACGGTATAGAAGATATTTGGTGATAATGGCTTAATAATATAATAGGCGTATTACTAAAGTGTATTTTATATGTATTTAGCGGGAACTAAGGAGCAATAAGATATTAATTTTCATCTTATTTGTAATTGCTAAATATTGTACTGGTTAAATGTCTCTAATTATAGAACTTTAGATACTTGTGTGGACATGTAAGCCCCGTCTCATCCCCCTCACCTCCCACAAGTAGAATAGTTTACGCGGTCGTAGAGCAGGTGGAAAATAATATACAGAAAAAATATAAGAGTCTTTCCACCATCTTTGTTCGCATAATAATAATAAAAGCCTTTATTCAGATAGAAAATTTTACATAATTTTAAACTTAAACTATTATCACGAGTGAGTCGGTGACACCGACAACCCAACTGTTTGCCCAACTTTGGCAAAGGCCTCCTCCATTTCTCTCCGCTCTGGTCTGTTCTGAGCTTTCCTGGTCCAAATTTTCCCAGTTACGGATTTTATTTCGTCTTCCCACCTTCGAAACTGTCTACCTCGTTTTCTTTTCTTATTTCTTGGGTACCAATATATGATCTTTTTGTCCACTTTTCTATACCTCTTATTATGTGACCAGCCCATTTCCATTTCAATCTTCGTATTTTGTTCGCATGGCTGACGCTAATTAAAGGTTTAAGTTGTCGCCTGGTTGATAGTACTGGTGACCCGAGAGCTGGTGCTTTCGTCGGTCGACGAATAAGTATCACCATATAGCGAAGAATGCTGCCAGCATTAAAGGTACGCTGCTACAGGGCACAAACTTTTTAAATTTGATTTATTTTACTATTTATCCATTTTTAATTTAGTTCAGAATGTTGAAACTATATATAGTTTTCTTAGGTGATACTAAGACTGTTGATATATATAAGAACCATCTCAAAGTGTCATTATGATGAAGCTATTCTCCTTTTGTTTCACTTAACAAAGTAGAGAGACAAGCAAAGCTACGAGGACCTTTTAGAGACGATCTTCAGCAATGAAGATTTTTTCTCGAAATTACAAAATTAAAAACAATATAACATTAATATAGGGAACATAAGGGACACTTATGAATGTCAAAAAATTATTGAACGTTATTATAACTTTTGATAGTTCTACACAAATTAGTTGTTAATTACCCCGAATCTCTAAGATTATGCATTAAAACATCGCGCGCATTACTTGCCTAGAAGGTTTGTAAGTTCTAGAACTATTAATAATTACATTAGAAATTATTAATTTCATATGTTATGAGTCATGAGTTATGATTTGTTTAACTTTTTTTCATTCAATATCATAAGGAGGAAGGTAATACAAAATTCATACACTTGGCCATTAAAAGAACTGACGGTGAGTTTTCGCCAGTTCTTCTCGTCTACGTTCTTGAATAAATGACGTTCAACAGCGTACAAATATTACCTGTATGAGTTAAAAATGATTTGATAACCATCGTCCGTACCACTAATTTAACATAGTTTTTGATATACTCTTCAATATCTCGCTACAAAATAATTACAAAACTTTAACGTTCCTAACTTTATCCAATTTAAAAACAGAAAACGCTATTTGAGTTTTACATTTCGTATTTATTTTCGCTGCTAAGCTAAAACGTTGATAACTATTAGGAACAATTACTAGCAATAGATACCAGAATTAAAAAGTATACAATTTATTTTTGATAAGTTTTTGAAGCCTAAAATAATGTTGGTCTATTTAATTAATAATAATTTATACTTACTGAAGTTCTTTGAAACATAAATTTGTCGGATAAGGCATTATTGACAATTAACAAAAACACTACTAGAGTTTTTAAAAATCGACTTAATGCACTCCTATTGGAAAAAAAAATCTTATTCTATTAACGATTATTTGCGTGAAATATTGTAATTAATACTAATTTTGTAACGTAATAATATATTTTAATAATGTGATGATTTAGTGATAACATAATTTTAGAATTGACTCATAATGTAACTTCTATTCTACCTTTTAAGACAAATTTGCACGCCATTATTTGTGGCAGAATATGCGAAACAAGATTTGTTAAATTGGTATTAGAACAATTGAAAATGAATTATCGCTCCCATCTGGTATTAAACTAGTCCAGCTCTTTAAACACAATGAAAATATTTTGTTGTATGTGTTGGCCTAGTGGCTTCAGCGTGCGACTCTCATACCTGAGGTCGTAGGTTCGAACCCCGGCTGTGCACCAATGGACTTTCTTTCTAGGTGCGCAACATTCATAGGGAAAACATCGCAAGGAAACCGACATGTCTTAGACCCAAAAGGTCGACGGCGTGTATCAGGCCACTGGAAGCCGATCACCTACTTGCCTATTAGATTTAAAAAATGATCATGAAACAGATTCAGAAATCTGAGGCCAAGACTTAAAGAGGTTGTAGCGCCACTGTTTTTTTTTTACATAAAGATAAGGTAAGTTAGGTTAAACGCGGCTTAACTTTAATATTTGCGAATTAAATGCAGCACTTTATACCGGGAATCAATTCCACGGCTCATTGACGCAGAGGTAGGATCATTAATCACCACCCGTCGAACGTTACACAGGTTAATCGCATAGCACTAACTTATTTATGCTACCAATATATGCCCACTAACGTGTGTTCTAATAACAGCTATTACAGAACCTGACCCTTAGTGGTCTAAATCCCCTACAGCTAGAGGAATTTAATTGGTTCGAAATGGGTTCCATATGTTATTTAGAACTAATTCGAGACCGTGGGGTTAAACCGCCCGCCACATAATCCGTGAAGGAAGACATCATGAGGAAATCTGCATGTGTTTTTTTATAGAACGGGGGGCAAACGGGCAGGAGGCTCATCTGCTGTTAAGTGATGCCCATGGAGTGTCCATCAAATCTCAATGTCAGAGGGCTCACGAGTGCGTTGTCGACCTTTTAAGAATTGGTAGGCTCTTTTCTTGAAGGACTATAAGTCGAGTTGGTTCGGAAATCTTCAGTGAGCAGCTAGTTCTACAAAGTGGTGGTTCGCGGCAGAAACTCTTTAAAAATGTTTCACACCCAAAAATTTACAACGCGTAGTAATTTGAGGATTTTCCTCGGCCTAATGAAAACCATTTTATTCTTTACAATAATCCAACCATTGAATTGTGGCTATAGTAAGTTTTAAACACCTTATTCTTACGAACCTTCTTAAAACTAGGGTTAGTTTAACTCAAATTTAAACAATAGATTTTCTTCTTCAGATCTTCGGAGGCCGAAAGTGCAAACGGATTGGGGTGGGGTATTTACTGGCTGTAGCATATTAAAGTCCCCACCTAAAAGTGACCTATTTTAATGTAACTGTGTGTGTACTGTGTAACTCAATGCAATGCTATATGAGTTATACCGTCAGGGGATCCATCCATCTGGATTTTGAGCGGCTATTGCGAAATATCAATCGTTTTTAAAAATGCATCGGATAACTTTCGTACGTAAAAAATGTGAAATATCACTGTGAATAGGTCGACGTACCTGATGTAAAAAATTGCAGTTTCCTATCACAATTCACTGGTACAATGTTCTTTAAAATATTTATTCCAATCATGCAGTGTAAACATTTTTCCCGGCGGGTTTAAATTTCGTTTTGAAATGAAAAATTGAACTTGTGAAACTAATGGAGTTTTGTAATTTCATTATTAATTTTCAATTGTTTGTACATAGGTATTATACAGGTCATATGTAGTGTACTGAAGAAAGATGGAATAGAAAAAGCATTTGAAAAATTTCAACCGTTTAGTGATTGCTATTTTGTATGGGAATATATGGCTAAAAATACCAGGCATAAAAATAAATAAATCAGTGGCGCTACAATCTCTTTAGGTCTTGGCCTCACATTTCTGAATCTGTTTCATGATAATTTTTAAATCTAATAGGCAAGTAGGTGATTAGCCTCCAGTGCCTGACACAAGCCGTCGAATTTTTGGGTCTAAGACATCTCGGTTTCTTCACGATGTTTTTTTCACCGTTCGAGTGAATGTTAAATGCGCACATAGAAAGAAACTCCATTGGTGCAAGCCGTGGATCGAACCTACGACCTCAGGTATGAGAGTCGCACGCTGAAGCCACAAGGCAAACACAGCCAGGCATACGTTAACATTTAATTAAAGATATTGAATAAATTCTCGCTTATTCAACAAAATGTTGCAACTATTACTTATGCACGTTCTTTATTCTAAGCCGCTAATGTGCTCGCCAATAATCCCTTTGAAGCGTTCGGAATTTACTGAGCCCACAAGAATATAATCCAATATCCAGCAAAATTCCATTTAGATACCAATTTCGTCAACCAAACTATTCTGGCGGTTGGAAATGTTTTGCCAAAATTGATAAAGGTTTTTAGTGGTTGGATAAACTTACGCATATTGCCAAGTATTATTTCCATAAACGTATATGTGTTCCGGATTAACGGATTTCATTACGATATCGCAAATATTAGGATCAATTTTAAAAAGGAGTTCAAGGAGGACTCGGCAGGTGGACTTGTATGCACCAAATTTAGATTCAGTAGGCAGCGTAAGAACAAAAAAATCGCTTTCCAAATCAAGTCATTGTTCTATTAAAATTCCGGATCATCCCTCCATCACCTGACCTATCTTTCTTTTTCCTTTCCCATCTCGGGGCTGCCATTCTGTAGTGAATCTAGACGATTTCTTACTCTTGTCATGTGCCCCGACCATTGCCATTTTATTTAAAACATCTTCCATTCCGCCTTCTTTCAAAAAAACTAAATTCTATTAAAAACAATTAATTATAGACTTGTAAATCCCTCACATATAATTTAATGTAACGTGTAACCTCTAGGTTACAGGTAACAAGTTATCAGACGTCAGAAGCTCATATAAATTCCATCACACGTGCTCATATTGGAATATGTTCGGTTGGGAATGCTCGTGGTATGCTTTTGAGTAACCTGACAAAAGCATGAATTCCTTTCATATTTGATATTAAAAGTACATAGTGTTATTTGATTCAATATAGGAGAAGTTTAATTTATTTAAATTAGTTTGAGAAACTTTTACGTTGTTAATTAAATTTATTATACTGTGTAAAAATAGAAAAAAAACTGTATTGTCTTTTATTGACATAACTTTTACACATTTAAAATAAACAATTTTTTAACGGATTGAAGTTATGTATTATATTATAAAATAGAGGACACCGTGAGCCATTTCTGCCAAAACCCCATCTTTTAGTCGTTACCAACTCCGGGGAAATAAACAGATAATACAACTTTTTCTACGGCTGTGATACTTTTTGACATTCAACACCTTTTGTCTTCAGTCACAGTGCGTGACGCTGTAAAGCACGCGAAACGTCGGTTAAATTTAAAATTATGTAAAATAATTGTAAATTTATAATACATAAATACATAACTTCAATCCGTTAAAAAATTGTTTCCTATAAAACAAATTTTCAATTTGAATTCAAGAACTGGATGTCTTTAGAACTTATTACACGTAATAAATTAGTTTCTTAATATTGATTTTAAAATATTATTTTGGGTTATTAGTTAAAGTACTAACTTTAATGTTTTGTAGCATTGAAAAAGCCTAACAAAGGTTCTCGGAACCAGCTTAAGGTCCTTCAAGAAAAGAGCGACCTTAAAAGGCCGGAAACTCACTGGCGAGCCTTCTGTCAATGTTACATAAAAAAGAGGGGAAAAGAGTGGTTTTCGGAAAGTAAAATTCATATATGTTTTATCAATATGTTATTATACATGATTTAGTAATAAAAATGGCTTATTCTACAAAACACAAGTAAAATAAAATGGACAAAATTAAATAAAAATAAATCATTCACAAGTGTAGCTAAATCTTAGAAGTGTCTGACATTATTATGTATACAAAACTTGCGAACTATTCTCATCTCTCCATTGTGTGCATCCAAGACTGATTTGTTCGTACAAAGTTCGAGTGTGGCGTTAGAAAGTTGTTTCCTCTGACATTGAAATATGATGGCAATTCAGAGAACCCTGAGGCGGGTTCAGAGTCAATCCTGCGCTGATCAAAACAGAGATTGTATTGAAATTGTTCGGAAACTGTTTTGCTTTCAATAACACTTTAACATTTTTTTAAACAATTTTTATGTCTTATATCCGCAAAAATAGCCCTATACCTTACTATGTGTAGGTAGTTCCTACCAAATACAATAAAAAAATAATATTTGTACACGACAGCATACATACTTTGAATCGTATTTGTGTACCTTAAATAAATTATATAGATCATATTTGCATTGAAAATAAAAATAAAACCCATAAGTAAGGACCCGTACCTTTTTTGATATCGAATAACATCAGTTTTGTACTTCAATTAACATAGGTCTTCAAAGTAAATAGCTTTCTGCCGCACATTACGTCGAACCAACTGTCCTTTAAGGTATTTCCAAACCAATCAAACTTAGGGACCGAACAAAAAGATAATATCAATTCTGACATTGTGAGTGTCCATGAGTGTCGGTATTACATAACATCAGAAGAGCCTCTTAGTCCCCAGTTCTATAAAAAAAATAAGTATAAACTATTCTAATTCAGACATAATGTGCTTTAGTGAACTTAAATTCAATATAGTTACTAACACCACCTGGGTTTATTCTTATAAAAGTCCAATATAACGTGCTGTGGCTGCAATTAAGCTTAAAGCTTCACAAGAGTTCGAGTTTCTCAAAGACAACCCTTTATCAAGAAAAGTGCCGTGAACAATTGACGAAGTCACACAGAATCTTCGATCCGTAAAGTGTCGTCGAATCGTTATCGCAGTATCACAATACTTGTATGTGAGTTAAAAAATCATAATGAGATATATAAAAAGCTTCTACAGTCTTCTAAAAGCAAATACTGTATATTTAAATATCGGTGCAATGTTATATAACCTTTAATTTTTTTTAGGGCAAACGATCCTAAGTGACACCCATACAGAGCAGTTTATTTTTTAATGTAATAGGAGGCAAACGGGCAGGCGGCTCACCTGATGTTATGTGATACCGCCGCCCATGGGCACTCACATTGCTAGAAGGCTCGCAAGTGCGTTGCCTGCCCGGCAGTCTTCGCAGCCAATGAACACCCATTTTAGTGGGCGCTTTGAGGAAGGAGTATGCTCTTTTTTAAACTACAGGTCGTATCTCCCAGGAAAGACCCATACCGGAAGTCAATTCCACAGTTCGCTAGTTCGCAAAACAAAATGTCTAGTTAAGCTGACCGTAGACCACTTCCAGCCATCAAGGTGATGCAGGTGAAATTTTGAGTTAATACGTACGTGATGAAACGAGACAGGACTAACCCAAACAACTCATCAGATCACTCTCCAGTCTCCATAGTACATTTTGTAGAAAACGCATAGGGAAGCAATGTCTTTGCGTAGAGAGGGAGAATCAAACCGATCAGCAACACACTGGAGATTGACAATTCGACCAAAGTGAGTGTCCATGGGTGGCTGTATCACTTAACATCAAGTGAGCCTTCTGCCCGTTTGCCTCCTACTACAAAAAAAGCCCATCGCCAGGTCAAAAGGAAGAATCTGGTATTAACTTAAAGTACATCGTTATGATGTTCGTTCCCATACTCCTCCTAAACGGCTCGACTGATTCTTATGAAATTTTTTATGCATATTCAGTAAGTCTGAGAATCGGCTACTATCTATATTTCAAACACCTAAGTAATAAGCCGGGTCAGCTAGTATACTATAAATATACATATTTAGTTAACAACAGGCTGCTCATCTTCTTAATATGGCCAAAGAGAAGATTAACCGTAGCGATGTCGTATTTCTTGTGTAATTAATATTTTCTGTTATTTTAATTATCGTATGCATCTTTATATATGCAACTCTCATACCTGGGGTCGTAGGTTCGATCCCCGGCTGTTCACCAATGGACTTTATATCTATATGCGTATTTAACATTCGCTCGAACGGTGAAGGAAAACATCGTGAGGTAACCGACATGTCTTAGACCCAAAAAGTTGACAGCGTGTGTCAGGCACTGGAGGCTGATCACCTACTTGCCTATTAGATTTAAAAATGATCATGAAACAGTTTCAGAAATCTTAGGTCTTGCCTAAGGAGGTTGTAGTGCTGATTTTTTTTTATCTTTATGAATACGAAAAAAAAAGTTACATTGTAAATATAATTGAAAGCCCACAGCTTAAACAAAGCTATTTTTATTTGGTTTAGTTACTCCATTGATTAATTGACTATCCAAGACAAAAATAATTTTGCAATTGGAATGGTGTGTGCATATATCAGCACTATAAACCAAACAAAAATCTTTTTTTTTTTAAATTAGTAGGTACTTATAATTAGTATTTATTATTACTGTGGCATTATAATTTATAATATAATCTAAACATATTATCAAAGCACTCTCACATTCCGTAGAAGTAAAATCAAATAACAACAAAAATATAACTTAAATAAAACAGAAACGAGGCTAAAATAACATAAATTAATTTAGAAAACCCAATTTCGTATCAAAGTGGTAAAGGATAACAAAACCCAGGCAGGCCTTAAGCGGTCATAATCCAAGTGTTTTACTGTTTTCCAGAATCAATTCACCATAATGATAATTTTATTCATAGAGTTCCTGCTAGAATCGTATTGCTTACTTTGTTCGTGATTCGATTCAGAAATATTTTATGAGGAAGTCATTGTCTATGCACATAATACCTAGGCTTAGGCAGTCTCAAGTTTATTCATGAAACCTGGGATCAGACAATCTCTTTGAATTCAACCTCCATATAAGTTTTTACTCGGCGATTTTCACTTAAAGCAAACATTTTATCATAAATATTCTGTTTTCCCGGTTCTTTGGAGGTGAGGGGGGGGGGGGGATTTATTTTAATAAAAAGAAGGGGGGGGAAATTCCGGCCTCCATTCCCGGTGAATAAAATTATTTTGCGTAGAGTAGAGGACAACATCCTTTAAAACAACTGAATCACAAATCTTGAAACCAAGCACTATTCTGTTTTTTTCACGGTTCTTTAGTAAACATTAAATTGGTATACGAGTTGTAACTGTTTATATATAGTTAAATCGTTTGTAAAAAGAGTGGCGGAGGTTTATTGAGTTCTTCTCTTCCGTTCTACGCCCTTGATTTGAGAACTGGCAGTAAATGTAAAATTAGAAGCATTTAATGTATATTAATTTTGTTGACGTTCACAAGTGTACATTGTGTTACCTATATGAATAAATTATTTTTGACTTATATTTAATAAGGTTGGAAACTACCACCCAAGGTTATAAACTTAAAATTACACAAATTCTATACAACATCCAAGAAATTGAAATTAAAATGCGCAACAAAACACCTGATACAACCAGACCACGAAAGTACTGAAATAAACTCAATTCAAATCAAAAAGAGTAATCGCAGCATCGCAGCGAGAAACCACAACGTAGGAAAAAATCTTCTCATTTCTAGAACAAAACAAATGGGTCCTATTAACTCGGCAAACAACAACTGTCATTCGTACAAGCTGACCTCGTCAGGAATGTAAAGTAGGAATACAAGATAAGTAGGTAAGTAAAAGATGTAGAATGCTCAAGGCACACGCTCATGAGTAATGATGCTCGTTTCTTTTCCAACTCGTTATGAACTCGGTATATCCATGTCGAACAAAATTTCGTTATTCTTTGTTGAAATTTGAGAAATCACTCTGGTTAATTTGAATGTGGAATATTTTGTTTTGAACCCTCGGGACTGTGGTTTA